GGAATATACATTTTACCCTAGCTAGGAGGTTTGCCAACCGTCTCTATAGCTCTTTGTGACTGGGACTTAATTATGCGAAAGAATTGTCTCATAGTATCACCAATGTTTACTAAGAAGAAGGTTATTGTAATTTATTTTTCATCAGTCTGCTGGTTAATAAAAAATAACTGCATTTAAGTTTGTTGATTGTAAAACTTATATGTTAGTGTCCTTTAAATGTGTTTAAAGACAATGCCAATGCAAATAGTATAATTCCTGTATAACTATATTCATCCTCAGGTTTGCCATCCACAAGTGATACAGGTAGAACATCTATCTATTACATCTCATATTCATCTTTCAAAGCAGAAATATTTTTATTTTGACTAAATGATTCCATTGAGCTTAAGTTTGGATATCGAGAGAGACCCAGCCAACAAACGGATATTTTTTTGTGGCTTAGGAAAGCAAAAGTCGGATCTTCAGGCTGAGTCCCTCAAATGTTTCCCAGCAGCTAAAAGACGTTGTGACTCAGGTATTTTTATTTGTTTCTAAACAACATATCCAATGAAATTTTTCTTGTATAGCAGGAAAAAACTTTATCATCAGTTTGCTGGTATCTGAGGTACTATATTAAATTTTTCTTATTTCAAATCAAACATTGAACAATCAACTTGTGCCGTAAGTACTTGGTAAGTGGTCCATAAGAACCTGATACATTACCCTTTTTGGATATCAGTGTATCACATTGTGTGTTTATAATGGTTCATAATTCCTGCTAAACACTTCTTTACTTTCACTTTGACAGACACCAGAATATTGTCTGAAGTGAAAGGCATAATGAAACAAATCAAGGACCATATAAACGACAAAGAAGAACTTGGTGCTTTTATAAAGTGGGTATATAAACATTTAAGTAAGACCTTTTACTTAAGGTATAATGAAGCTTTATTTATATGAGATCCAGATCTCTTTTGTAAGACCATTCTGGTGAACGGAAATCATATACACAAGGTGTTCACAAAGAGATGGCTTTCTAATTTTGCGATACATTTCATTGTTGAATAAATTAACTCACATTTAAACTCTTGTTCCATAGGAATAAAATCAGTGATTTAGAGATTAACAAGAGAGAGCTTGTTGGTGTCTTTGGAAGAACTGGGGCTGGAAAGAGCTCGTTAATCAATGCCATCATTGATGAGAAGAATCTTTTGCCCACTGGAAGTATCAGCGCATGCACCTCAGTCGTGATTAAAGTGGAAGCTAACACACGTAGCTTAAAGTATGAAGCGGAAATTGAGTTCATTAAAGAAGAGGTACAATAAAATGAATGTTTATTTTTCACAGTATATGTATATATAAGTATGTATATAATAATTATATAATACATAATTATAATAATTATAATTTCTAGTTAGTCTGCATGACATTTAAGAAAACCCAAAGATTGTTTTTGTTTTTATCTTGTTTTAGGAGTGGCATGATGAATTATGGTCACTGAAAACTTACAAGAAAGGTGATGATGACTATCGGGACATGGTTAAAAAGCTGTCAGCCCTGTATGGAGATGAATGGAAAGACAAATCCCTTGAAAACCTTAAAGAACCAAAGTATTTCAAAAATATTCCAGAATTTCTAGCGTCCAAGAGGAAATCTTTGAATTGTGACACAGTAAGGTCAAATGCTATTCTATTACTTACTATTACTTAGAATGTTTCTTGTTTTACTGAGTGAAATTTGTTTGCAAAGTCTGAAATTGATATAATTTATAGACGGCCTACTCTATGCAAATTGGGCTTTAACTGTTATTAAAAAAATGAAGAAAGAAAAAAAAATAGAAGCAGAGTAGAATATAATGCATCTTTGATAAGTGCTACAGACCAAAATCACAAAACAAATCTGTTCTTGCCTTATCAAACCTCAGTGCTGCTTTTGACCAGTTTAAAAACTAGATGTGATCAAAGGACCAAAGACACAAACAAAAATGTGAATGTTTATTTACAATGTTTTCCAGCTGCCTCCTGCAGCTCAGCACAGTGAGCTCCCTTGTCAGGTCCTGCCATCCTACTTAAATAGAAAAGACTGATTCTCATATAGACCTTTTCTACTTTATCTGAGCACTCAGAGAGTGGAAAAACAAAAACCTCATTGAAGAAAAGCATTTCAGACATATTCCAGAATTTTTAAACTCCATGAAGAAATCTTTGGAATGTGACACAGTAAGCTCAGAAACTCTAAATAATGCATTCTTTGAGAAAGTATTTATATTTTCAGTTTTCGAGGACTGACATAATTTACTGTCGGCCGACTCTATAGAAATTGGACTAATTTAACTGCAAGTTTAGTGGATTTGTAACTGAGAACATTTTTATTTATCACACCTCCAAATCCATAAAATGACAACCAAATGTACCAGGGCAGGTTCTAATTCTTTTTGTTTTTTAGTTTTTTAACCGAATGAGTGATAGTCGCTGTGCAACTCAGCAAGTTCATCAAGGAAAAGCTTTAAAAAAGGAGAAAAAAACAAACAAATTTGAGTTCCACTGAAATGGATTTAGAGGATTTGAAACAAACAAAAAGTCATGTTATGGATAGATGGTATGAGAAAAGCTTTCAAAAAGTTTTTCATCCTAAAGATGTCAGTATTAGCTCCTGAGGTCAAGAGTGTACATATGGTTGTACATACTTACATTAGCCTGTGCTGTATTTTGGGTTTTCTGCTCCTAATTTACTGTAATTGTAAGTTTTAGAAATTCAGTTAGGTATAGGTACGTATTCAGGTATAGTATCACTAAAAGCTACAATACTCACTACACGTTATCGTTGCTCTTCAGTCATATTTTACGTTGCACTACTTCTTTAATCCAATTTGAAGACACGTTCAGTGATTGTACAGGTTACGTGTTTTGCATTATCGTATTTATTTCATTTATTGCAGGCTCAAGAGCTATCTCAAAAACTTCGTATATACACAAAGGGTGGACCAAAGCAGGAAGATGGATATAAAGCACAGCAGTGGTTTTGGCCACTAGTGAAAAGTGTGACTGTCAGGGTGCCACACAATGAGCTCCTCCAGCATGTCACACTTGTGGACCTTCCTGGAAATGGTGATCGTAACAAGAGCAGGAACGAAATGTGGAAACAGGTATTTTATTCACATCCACTGCATCTTGTTTTGTCCTGTGTTGTCTGAACATTGTTTTGTGTAATTATTTAAAATTGACATTCTATGATTCTCTTTCAGATTGTTGTAGATTGTTCTACTGTGTGGATAGTGGCTGAAATTACTCGAGCAGCATCAGAAGTTGAAGCCTGGGAGATCCTAAAAAGTGCACATGGCCTCATTGGAAATGGTGGTCAATGTCAGCAAATCCACTTTATCTGCACCAAGTCTGATCCTGCAGATGATCGGTAAGTGAATTACCAAACCACACAGAGCTGGATGTGTTGGCAAAAGTACTCAATAACTGATATCAAAAATCATATTAAAGACACATACTATTATCAAGACTAAGATAATACCAGTTTACTAGAGAATGCATTTCTTGAAGAAAATTCAGTGTGAACGCTGACAGCTGAATCGTTTGAGTTGAATTTTTATAATTACTTAGTCTTGTACACAGTGTGTACACTGAATACACCAACTCATTCACATGAGAGCAGAAGTTCACACAGAAGAAGTAGTTTCAGAGTTTGAAAGTAGCTGAACAGAATAAGCTGATTAATGACAAAAGAAAATTTAGACTTTGTGAACTTCAGCTTTCAGCAATTCTGCACTTTGACTTTCAGATGAATGGTTCGGTGTATTTCAGGTCAATGGATATTTTTCCAACCAAAGGTTCAGAAGTTATGACATTTCATCTCAAACAATTCAGCTATCTGCATTCACACTTGAGTTTTCTTTAGGAAATGTGTTCTCTAGTTATTCCTTTGTTGTTATTTCAAGGGCAGGGATTTTTTAAATTTTTTGAAAAGACTTAAGGTGTTCCAATTGCATGTTAAAGAATAAATTGTGCCATGGATGTTAATGTCAGCGGCCATTTTGCCTATTTGTATTGTCATTGGATCGTTGTAAAGCAGCAGCCATTTTTGTTTATTATTAATCTATGTCTTTAGCCGCTAACTAGTCTCACACCGTTTGTCGCTTGTCTGTGAGCTGCGTGCTTCCATTCAGATTTTTACAATTTATACACTTTCTGAAATATTCCTCTTTTCTGCTGATAGGGTCACATCGACTTTGAATCACTTCCCTTCTTTTAGGCCATATTTCTCCCACACCGTTTGACTTAGACCCTACTGTTACACCAAATTGACCAGAACAACTGTCTGCAAAACTAAGATATTTATTTCACTTCATTTCTACAGTTTTTCTGTCTCTCAAATCCCTCCCCATTCATGTGTATTGGAGAGTTAGCATGAGGCTAGTGTGAGGCACACAAATCCTCGGGTGAATTTTTTTTCTTTAACATCTAGATACACGCTCAATCATCCAAGTAAGTTAATCCCCAAAAGTTGATTCTGTTCAACTGGACATAGTGTTTTCAGTGGGAGAAATGTTTCGTCGTGACGAAAGCTTACTGCAGGTTTCCCCAGCCTTATAAACAGTACCTGGAAATTCACTCCCTGTTTAATTCCACCAACCACTTTTGGAGCAAAGTTTTTACAGAACATTTTTTAACTTGCACTTGTGACCTTAAATTTAAGCTCTACACAAATAAAAATCCACACATGTGTAGAACAACTTCTTGGGATCCCCACAGTTTTTAAAACACATTGATATCACGTTCACTTCCCAGTTTATAAGCCATAAGGCAACAATTGACTCTATTACAGCATCCCTCATTTGAATATAATTTGTGTACTGGTTTGTCTGTGTCTCACCATAGTCTGGGCCCCACCTATGAGGTAATACTCACCACAAGGCTTATCTATAGTTTGTTAGCTTGTCATGTGTCTCACTGAGAGGTTTAGTGGGTAAACTGCTACTCTTTCTGTGGGGGGCCATTGCGTATTGGCTGTAATGCATTCAGTGTGAATGCAGCAACAGCCAATGAAATAAAAAAAGATTGCTTACACAGAACCGTCAGAGAACAGGTTCAAGGCCTGGTAGGAACAAAGCTTGTGTTACATTATCAAAGGATAAACACCAGTTTGTACTTAGATAATGTAGGTAACATTAATTTTTCACATTACTTTATGATTTTATTTGATTGTCTTGTTTATTTGTAAATTATATTATATAGTGTTACCACCCTTGGGGCTGTGTTTCTGCATTCATTACCTATACTTTCATGAAGTACATTTGAGATGATATCCTGCTCGCTAAACACTGTTCATAGTGTTGAACTCTGCTTGTTAACCCCTAACTATGGTTGAACTTAGCTTGAGTAGATTTTTGAGGTGTTACTGCTCGTGAGGTTAGCCTTAGTTAGCTTTAGGTTTTAGGTTTAGTTAATTTTGTGCTGGTTATATGCCCAGTGGTTTGCAGTACGTGGCCCTGTCGGTTTTCTGTTTGAATTTTGCAATAAAACCTTTATTTCACTCCCTGTCCCCTAGCAGAGGGGGTTGTAACAATACCATGATAATCCTGTGTTGTTTATTAGGTGTATGCAAGGACAGTGTTTTGCACCAGGAAGCATCTCTGTATAGACAGTATAATTTAGAAGGGCAGTGAAGAAAGTCTGCATGCAAGTATCCTTGGGCAAGATGCTGACCCCTGATTTGCTCTTGATTGATTGATAATATGTCAAGAGATTTATTCTAAATGACACTTCTTCAGCTGAGAGTCAGAGAGTGGATACACACACACGCTGCAGGTTTTACTTGCAAGGGCGGTCACAGAGCGCTCACACGAGAGTGGGGGCCCTGTGATCAGCGCTCTGTTCATGCACTTGTCTTTATTTATACATGAGAAAAGTAATACAATAATGAATACATTTGCTCAGTGGAATATTGGTGTGTGTGTGTGGTGGAATGTGGGAAGCAGCTCTTTTTCTCTGTTAGACAGTTGATATATATATGTGTGTGTGTGTGTGTGTGTGTGTGTCTATATATATATATATACATAATACAATATATATGTATATATATATATATATATGTGTTCTTCCACATTGTATATACAATATATATATGTTCAGTGGAATGTTGATACGTGATGTGCGTTGTGATGTGTGTGTGTGTGTGTGGAATGTGGGAAGCAGCTCTTTTTCCTGGTAAGAGGTCAGAACTGCTTGTTGAGCTTCTTACTATCGCTGTGGGAAGATTCAGATAAAAATATCAGAACAAGTTTTTATAAAGAACAATCAGTTCTAAGTAATAAAAAGGCCATCATGCAGTATTCTATCACATGTAAACTTATATCATTAAAAGCTTATACTGACTACTAAGTACAATTTTTCATTGACATAATACTTTATTCATCCCGAGGGAAATTGGGTTGCTGCCAGCCTTGCCAGAGCCATCTTACCCTTCCGACCATACATACATTACGTCATATGGGGAAGACAGGTCAGAGAGGAATAACAATGGAAGGGGTTAGGGAGGAAAAAAAAGAACTCCCCCCCCCAGACTGAGGTCCAACAGGGAGATCAGTTTGACACAGAAAAAAAAAACACCTCAGCACATTGCACATGAATCATCACATCTCACAACATAGAAGACACTTCAAGGCGTTTGGAGGGGTACTATATGATGTTGAATATATATTGATATGTGTATGTTTGTGGTGGTGTTTTGGTGGTATGTAATTAATATTATATAGTCGTGTGTTATGCTGCTGTATATATAATAACTGCTATATATGATGTATGTGTGGGTGTGTGTGGTGTGTATTAACACGTTATATATGTATGTGATATATTGTGGGGTGGTAGGTGGGGTCATGGGCTCTATTCCAGTCGTGAATCCCGTCGAATGTAGGTCTGTGTCAGTGTACATGCGCGTGTGTGTGTGTGTTCCGTGTTCAGCTGATCTTCTTCTCCAAGATCTTATCCATATTGCGTTCAATAAACACAGTCTGTGTACTCACAGCCCTGCCCATCGTCTATCATGTCAGCCAGCCTTGTGGGACTTTGAACAGCTGTAGCCACTTCTTGTTCTTCAATAAGCCAGGTCCGAGCCAGCTCCAATCAGCCCTATTGGCGAAAATCATCTGATTATACGCTTACACTGCCCATGAAGGCGCTACATCTTATAGGGGTTCCGATAGATGTTCATAGATGTGTGCATTACAACATTCTCCCTCGCATCTTACAGATTTGACAGCCACATTGTTGTGAATATATATATTCTATCTATCAGGAAATAATTTCTGTACAACACGCCATATACATGACACATGTCGAGGTGCCTTGTGCAGGCTTAGTACAGATGATTGTAAGAGAAGCTGAGAAACACTTCGATAATTAGAAGAGAACTAGTGTTTGGAATGAGAATCTTATATTAAAGAAGATTGAATGAGAATAGCAGGATCACTGAGCTGCCTCTGAATTGATCGCCTCTTAATGCGTGTTTGGTTTTGTTCCAATGTCCCGAGCTTGGATCAGATCCCACCAACCCCCTATGAATTAAGTTTTTAGATTCAGTCATTTATTGGTTTCTGTAGAGAGTGGTCAATCTCTATAGACCAGAGGATGGAGCTTTACTTTGTCTCAGGCAGTTGGCCCAAATGTCTGAAATTCAGTATAACCCTTACCTGAACCACATCAGCTGCTTCTTCATGCTCCTGTTCACACTGTTGATAAAAAAGTACAAAGCCGTGTAGAATATTAACCTCTTAAACATGTATTAAAATTGTATTTGTCATATGGACATTAAATCTGAAGGGGAAAAAAACAGTTTTAAACTGACTTGAAAAGAAATGACTGTTTCCTGATTTGAGTTTTGTTCTTCCTACCACAATCAAAACAATTACAATCTATTAGCCAAATGTTAGCTCCCTCTGGCAGATTGTCCTGAGCAGCTGGGGAAACAGGATGACTGGGTGACGATGAGGAGGAAGCAGAGTCTTAAACAGAAGCTCCTGGTACACCACCAATCTGTTCATGTGTCTAACTGTTTTTCCCCACTTATTGAATCACCTGCCAGGCAACAAACTCTGGTAATTGGTGATTCTGTTCTGAAACATGTAAGGCTAGAGAAACCAGCAAAGACGACCAGAACACTGAGGGAAATGTAAAACTGAAAGGTAAAAATAAATTCAGCAAAACTGTAATTTACGTCGGACATCCAGTTATGTCAATCGGAGGTACTAAAATTAATATTGAATCAGTATGTAACCCTATAGGCAACAAAATGAAGCTTTCCTTTGTCTCAGGCAGTTGGCTAATATGTCTGAAATTCAGTAAAATCCTTACCTGAACCAAACCAGCTGCTTCTTCATGCTCCTGTTTACCCTGCAGATAAAAAGT